CAAGCAAACTCCAAATAGGATATGCCCAGAGTGTTAGGAATTGAATGTAGCACCCCTACCCCATTCCTAGGTGAAGTCCTGACATGATGGTGTTAGGAGGAGGGGCCCCTGGGAGGTGATCAGGGTTAGGTGGATCACGAGGCTGGGGCCCTGAGGTGGGGTCAGTGCCCTCCTCATAAAAGACCAGAGACTTTCTGTGCTGTGCACCCTCTGCCACGTGAGGACACAGCAAGAGGACAGCTGTGTGAAAGCGAGCTCTGGTCAAGAACTGAATCTGCCAGCACCTGATCTCAGACATCCAGCCGCTAGACTGTGAGAAAATTTGTCTGTGGTGTTGTTAGAGGAGCTGAACCAATGAAGACACCAAGATGCACCACAGTGAGATTTCTGAAAACTAAAAACAAAGAATGAATCTTAAAAACAACCAGTGGGAAACTACACCTTTAAGTGAGTAATTCTCTGTAACTTGTGTTTGGAAAAAACACAAATTTGAATGGCAGCCAATTTCTCATTGAAGCCACTGGGGGCCGGAGAAGTAGCACGTTTTTCAAGTGTTGGAAGATAAGAACTGTCAACTGCAAAATCCATGTCTTGTGAAAATGTCCTTCAAGAACAAGGGGAGATAAAATGTTCTCAGATGAAGAAAAACTGTGAGAATTTGCCACCAGAATCAGACTAACTATGAAAGAATGACCAAAGAAAGTCCTCAGAAGGAAAAGAAATTATAACAAAAGAGATCTTGAGCTCGAGGAAGCAAGTAAGAATAAAAGAACTGGTAAAAATATAATAGATAATCCTCATGAGTTTAAAAATCCTATTCGATTATTGAAGCAAAGTTAATAAACCCATCTGATATTGTGCTCAATATAAGTAGGGACAATACAACAATTATATTTAAAAAGTAGGGAGAGGAAAGGGAACTAAATGGAAATAGGGTTCCTACATTTCACAAGAACAGGTGAAGTGTCGACAGCAGCGAGCTGATTACAGTAACGTGCGTACTGTAGTGCTTAGAGTAGCAACTAAAGTAACTATACAAAGTAATACACTCAAAAACATGCAATCCTTAAAAATATGCAAGTAACCCACAAGAAGATAAGAAAAATGTAAAAGACGGACAAGAAACAGAGAAAACAAATAACAAGAGACTTAAGTCCTAACATCAATATTTACCTTAAATGCAAATGGTTTCAACACTAATTAAGACAGAGTGGATTAAAAAACCATCGTTAGCAATACCTTGTCTATACGAAACTCATTTCAAATACAATGGCATAAACAGACTAACCATAAGAAGATGGAAAAGACAGACCATTGTAGACATTAATAAAAAAACAAGCAGGAATGGCTATATTAATATCAGATGAACTGAATTTCAGAATAAGGAAAATCACTAGAAATAAAAGAAATACTACATAAGATAACAAGATCTATCTACCCAGAAGACAAAATGATCCCAAATGTGTATGCACCAAACAAAACAGCCCCAAAATACATAAAGCAAAAGCTGACAGAGCTAGAAGAAGAGATAGACAAATAAACAATTATAATTGGGGATGTTAATAACCACCTTCCTCAACAATTGTTGGAACCACAGCAAGAACAGAGAAAAACTGAACAATGCAGTGAACAAACAGGATCTGACAAAAAAAACAAACTCCATTCAACATCAGAATACACATTTTGTTTTCAAGTGACTTGGGAGCACTTACCACAGACCATATCTGAGGCCACAAGACAAACCTCAACAAATTTAAAAGATTTAAAATCATACAAAATGTGTTTGTTTTGTGACCACAGTGGAATCAAACTAGAAATCAGTAAGATAAAAGACAACAGGAAAATCTCCATAAACACTTGGAAATTAAGCAACAGACTTCTAAGTAAACCATGGGTCAAAGAGGAAGCATCAAAGGAAATGTTTTACATTAACTGAACTGAATGAAGATAAAAATACAATGTATCACAATAAAAGAAATGCAGCTAAGACAGTGTTGCAAGGAACATTTGTAGCACTGAATACAGTAGAAAAGAAAAAAGGTTTCAAATCAGTAATCTATGTTCACAGCACAAGAACCTAGAAAAATATAAGAGCAAAATAAACCCAAAGCTAAGGGAAAAAAAGGAAAGGAGGAAGGGAAAAGAACAGGGGGAAAAAAAGGGTAGAAACCAATGAAATTAAAAACAGAAAAACAAAGAGATAAACCAATGAAACAAAGAGGTGGTAATTTGAAGCGATTAATAAAATTGCCAAACCTCTAGAAAAATTGACAAAGAGAGAAGATGCAAGTTACCAACATGAGGAGCAAAACAGATCCTACAGACATCAAAAGGATGATAAAGGAATATTATAAACAATTCTACACATATAAATTTGACAAATGACATGGAATGGACCAACTCTGAAAAACCAAGCTACCACAACTCAACAAAATGTAGTAGATAATTTGAATAGCCTTATAACCATTAAGCAAATTGAATTTGTAATTTAAGAAAAATCCCCCAAAAGAAATCTCAAGACCCAGGTGGTTTCACTAGAGAATTCTACCAAATATTTAAGGAAGAATTAACAGTTTTATACAATGTTTTCCAGAAAACAGAGAGAGAAGGAACATGTCCCAAATCATTTTATGAACCTTGAATTATCCTAATACCAAAACCAGAAAAGGAGATTACCATAAAAGAAAGCTACACACCAATACTTATCGTGAACTCAGACATAAAAATTCTTCTCAACAAAATATTAGCTAATTGTATAAAACGTATAAAAAGAATTATATACCACAACCCCCGCAAGGTGGGATTCATTCTAGGTATTCAAGGCTGGTTTGACTTTTGATGTAATCCACTGTATCAACTGGCTAAAGATGAAAAATCATACAATCGTATCAACAGATGTGGAAAAAGCTTTTGACAAAATCCCACATGCACTAACAATAAAAACTCTCAGCAAACTCAGAAGGGAACTTCCTTAAATTGATAAAGAACATCTACAAAAAACCCCACAGTGAACATCACATTTAATGGTGAAAGAGTGGATGCTTTCCCTCTAAAATGAGGAAAAAGGCAGGAACATCCACTCACATGTTACTCAACAAAGTACTGGAAATGCTAGCCAGTGAAGCAAGGTAAGAAGAAGAAATAAAAGGCATACAGATTAGAAAGGAACAAATAAATTAAATGACAGATCTCGGCATTTCAAGGTGATTCCAAAAAAATTTCAAAAAAGTCTATTAATTTGTGACCTATGGTATCATCACTGCGAGACATGAAATAAATAAATGTAGCACCCAGAAACACTCAAAGCCCAATATTTATATGCACAGAGTATATTTGCTTAAAACAAACTCAAGCTTATAGTCCTAACCCATGTGTAATTTACCTTTAAATTTTATGGGGCTCCTTACATTTTCCAAGTGATTTATTTTCTGGCTGGTGTTCTTGTAATAGGTTCTATATACCACGTAACCTATGACTTTCTGGATACATTTATTTTTCCACTTTTCAATTTGACTTCTCTCTGCACATGAACCTAAGCAAGTGCAGTTCAGGTTTTGGTATTATTTTATTGGAAGAAGGGAAAGAAGGATCAGGCGAAATGTTAACGGTGCAGACACTGACAATGATAAATCCCCACAATGATGGCGAGCATGCACGCTCACGCACACGCACAATCACATACCTGCGCACACGCAA